TGCTACCCAACTGGATCTGCCACCACAATCCAAAACCCACGTTTTTGAAGGTCAGCCATTCAAACAAATTACTGAAATGTAGTTTCGAATGAGCGAGCATCTACCAAAGCATCCATCTGGCTTTTAAAATACCAAGGACACTGGGCCGGCCACCTTCTTCTACACCCAGTTTTCTGAAGATGCCTCATTTTTCACAGGACAAAGAAGCGCTACAGAACCCAGGGAAAGTCACCATCCTTGGGGCCAACTCCAGCTATTACATAGCGCGACTTGGTTCTTCCTATGCATTGCTTCACTCATCTTCAGACACCCACCGACTTTAATTAAAGGATCACTATTTAAAACAGCAGTAAAAGGGCACTGAAAGCTGTTCCATTTACTGTCTTGCTACCTCCTCCCCACCTGATAAATTAATTATATCTGCATGTTACTATCCTGGTACTGGAAAAAGAAAATCTGTAAAGATAGGCATGAAAATGTCAAATATTCACAGAGTAAATGCTAAAGACATTTAAAAATCTGGAAAGGACTCAAAAGCTTTAGTCCTGAAACTCCCAGATCGCTTTCACATTTAAACTACATAACAAGTAAAAAACCAAGAGCAAGTACATGAGAAATCTGGCTGCAGTTAATACTGGATAACCGATTAATGTTTGAGTAACTAAGAACTATTTGAATGCTACTGGACAGAATCATATATAAATAATTTATTACATAGATCTGATAGCATAAACTTTTACCTACTTGAAAGATACCAAATAGAGTGGATTAGCATTTATTTATGCAAAAACAAATAAATGCAGTTTTGTATGCGTTTAATACAGCTGAATACTCCGAGCTGTTCTTCCTCCAGAAAACGGTAGTGCAATAAAAAAATCGCAATACCCTGATTTCATAAAAAACATACTTCAAATTCACGGTACTTTCATAGGAAGCAAAATGGCACCATACTTGAAAACAGAGCAACAGAAATTATGTATCCATGCTTAAAATGAGAATGAAAATAATCAACATTTCAAGCTAACACAAGTTTTAAAAGTCAAGCTTGCTAAATTCATACTGAAATGCGATAAGTTGTGACTATTCCTTTCAGAGTAAAAAACATCTTATCGTTTTGGATCATTCATCAAATTTGCATGCAAAAGGAAAGCTGGATTTGTTTGTATTCTTCAGTTCCTTCCATGATCTTTTAAATAGTTCCCTTGATACTTCAATCAAGAATCTTTATGTTTGATTTTAAAATATTGTTTTAGTTCAAATGCTATCGAAAGCCTTAGATAAGCTTATTACCTCAGAACCCTCTTCCTACAGCAATGTATTTTCAGTCTGCACATACGGCGGCTAGATAAAACTCTTCTTCCTCTCCCACCACGGAGAAATGTTAATGTGTATTTAAATAATAATGAAGGCTTTGATATTTAAGAAAAAATTCAGGGTAGTCCCACTAAGCAAATCGAAGTCGTATCACTGAAATTAAGATTTAATTAAACTACAGAAGATAAGATTGCTTTTATCCGTATTATTGTACATTCATACATCCAGCACAACTTTGAATTAAGCTTTGAAGACCAACAGCATCTGTAAGGTAACTGCCTTTTTCCTAATTTCATTAAAGCGTTCTAGGAAGCGATACAACTATCAAGTTACTTCTCTTCCCCAGTTCCTATATTCTTGCATATTCAGATAAGCATCAGGAACTTGTTCCTCTAACGCTCCAGATGCCAGACGAGAAACCCCCGGCATAGAGCGTTTATCGAACAGGGCAATGACAACTACCTGTAGTGGAGCCATTTATTAACAATTTCATATTTGAAAGTCTTAAGCAAAACAACGTTAAGATTTTCATTATTGTTATTATTATTACAGCCTCCTTGCTCCTCCAACCCTACATTTCCCAAATGCTTAGGGCCACGCTGAGGTTTATTAGCGTCTATGGAGAGCAGCGCACAGATGGATCTCTGCTGTTCTCCAGTCCTAGATTTTGTTTGAAGCAAATGCCCAAGACCTAAATTATTACAACTAAAGACTAAAAAAATCTAAATGGGATCCAAAAAAAAAGGCCACCAGTGAAATGCTGTCCACATGAGTTTTCAGACAACCTGCAGAAACAGCTCTTAAGAGTGAACAGCGAAATTTATTTCAAATGTCACTCAACTTAAAAAAGCACCGCTGCTGATATTTAAGTCAACCCTGTCAACGACTGCACCCCTTATAGCTTGTAAGAGAAAATGACTTGCTATCATTGGTCAATCTTTACTCTGAACCCCTCGGTCACAGAGTCTGGTTGCTCCTGGCTTTAAACATGTCTGACTTTTGGTTCTTGCTTGGCTTTTCTTCCACGTGGGTGTTAACTTTGCAGGCAGGAAAAAGAAAGAGAGGAAAAACTCTTCTAAACAGGAGTAGTCAGCAACCGTTACTGTCCGACGGGGGCTGATAAAAGGCTTAGTGTCACACACTGGCCAGTGCCTAAGCAGACAAACTCTGTCTAAAAACAGTGGCAACTAGCACAATTTTACTAACACTGAAGACACAGAGTTAGGTTTATGAAGGACAAGGAAAATATGCAAGTGAAACATATCATGCAATCATAGAACATGATAGTAGGAGCAGTATCTTAAACAAAAACCCTTATTTGTATCGACCTAGCCTCTCTCTACACGATTGTAATACGTTGGGAGGTAGCTGCAGGAAGGCTTGAAGCAAGAAGAAGAAAGTAGGAGAAACACGGGACGTCGTGGTGGATGGGTGAGCAGAAGATAGCTCTCCAGCTTATCTTTTTTTCACCGGAGCTGATCAAGCAGAGGTCAGCGCGTTCCCAGGTGTGAGCCTACAGGCACATTAGTGGGGTCAAAGTCCTGCGACACCATTCAGGATTGTGTCACTGCGGGGACCCCGCCAAAACTGACTGCCCAAATTAAACTACGTACTTACTCGTCGTTGCTGTTGTTTTTGGCAATTCAGTTCCATTTGGTGGCAAAGCGCGAACAAGCAGATAACATCCTGGACCTAGGAGCAAACAGAAGCATGCGATAAATTTAAACTCAAATTTATGTACTTTTCCCCCTCATTTCAGAACAAGATTAAAAGCAAAAGCGAGCATTTACTTTGGGTGAGCAAAGTTTTAAAACCTGTCTTGTTCTCTCCCCTTATCTTCATTCTTAACTTTCATTTCTGATGCAGAGGGGAAAAAAAAAATACAAGCCGCACACGTTGCAAACGCATTAAAAATGTTTAAAGCCCAAGATTAAGGCGAAAGCATTCAGCCGTAGTTCAGAGACTGCTACAGAACCAGGCCAGATTCTGCCCAGATCAAGCAATAAGCTCCACTTCTGAGTTCTCTTGTGCTGGCTGGTTTTATACAGCTAGATGCGCACACAGTTTGACATACGGACCGACGGATATTCTTTCTGAGGACACACTTGTGCCATAACTACAAGACTACAAGCTTTATAACATCTTACTGGAGCTTCGCAAATATAGAAAAATCACAGTTCAGCGAGACCAGAAAAGAATGTCTCATGTATAGAAGATTAGAGCAAAAGGTGTGACGAAACTTGCTGCTACTTTGAAGACTATAGAGAAATTCAGAAAACGGGAACTTGCTGAACGAAAAGTAGGAATTAATAATTGCAGACAAATGACTCGGACCAGGAATACTCTAGACCCTCATAACAGAGCTTTAAGTGGAAAAAAATAAATGTTGTTACTGATTTACTTTATATTTATCCAGTCCCTAATGAGCAATCTTGCTCGATTTTAAAATATCCTCTTTGGGATAACCACGTAACACAACCATTGCTCTCCGTTTCACGCATGGCAGAGCCTGTCCAGAGGGTGGCTCTGCACCCACTGCGAAAATCCCGACCGTGGTAATGTGGCAGAACGACACTACCCAATCTAATCAGCATTATACATTTAATAATGCAATCTCCAGGGAAGACTATTTGTTACTGCTTAAAATCAGACGGAAACAATCCCGGCAGTTATTAAACTGTACAGCCATTATAAAGTCCTTCTGTTCAACGTAAAATGGAATAACCCATGGGGAATAGTCTCTGGGTAAGCTGGAACGGCTGGCAAACTCCTGCGACCGCAACTTTCATACTGCATTCACTGCTGCAACGTAGGTTGCGCGGAGCGAACAGGAGCATCTCCAAACGCAACACGCGCCTGCAACTACGCACGTACAAACGCTCTCTTAACAGTTTAAGACAAAGCTCGGAAGCGTGGTTATGTTTCTAACCGTTTCCTGCCCTGTGCATTTTGTAGAGGAGGTCGCTTTGGAAGAACAGCGCAGCTGGTGCTCTTCTCCAAGAAGACTACCTCGCCCGGCGGGAGCAGCGTGCCGCGTCGGGGCCCTTCCCCTCCGGGCCAAACCACCA